CCCTTTTACACACAAACACGCGCATCTATCGTTCTCGGACACACATTCAAACACACTACTGTGCACGCGCGAACTCATATATAAAATCCGCCGTTCCTGCAATAACACCTGTACACAACCACACAATCTTCTCATGTCACTCTTAAAAGCCTACTGACCTTGACACGTCGATCCGTCGCCACGGTAACCAGACCTGCAGACACACTGGTAGCTCTCGCCGTTTGGCACGCACTCGGCTTGGGCAGAACACTTTTGGGCGGCATTGTAACAAGGATCAGAACCTGGTGAGTGGTTATTTGAACAGACAAGAGGTTGTGAAGGGCAGTTGACAATGTTTATACATTCTACCACTAGTTCTACTGGAGGTATATCTCGGATTCAGAGGTTGACAGGTAATGACACTCTATCCTTCAGGGTCGCGAGCTGCCGTTGCATATTATTCTGCTATACCCAGGCCAGTCCATGTTTTAATGTTGTTTAATCATGTTACTTTTTGTCTTCCCCTGACTCTCCTGTCCCACATATTTCCGTCAGCACCTCTTTCACAATGATCTGGTGTCGTCTTAAGAGACCAAAGTATCGTATATTTCTACAAACGAACGGTATTTTGCGGAGAAAATCTTTTTTGTGTGTAAACAAATTCTCTCGATTTGTGCCTTATCAGAGAAGACAGGTTTTCGATCCTACCAACCCTAGAATCAGGGGGTGTGATAAATATGTGAGTAAAAAAAGTGGCAGGGATGTAACTCCTTACTTTGGGTTGACAGGCGATGCTCACCATTCCTGTTGAGATATTGTGCTCCCGATACCGTATCAAGCGCTATCTCCACACCAACCCTTAACCCCAATTTTACTCCCAACTCTTCCATACTTAAACCTCCCCCCCACGTCCCCCTTTCCCTCTACAGTCTGTACTCACCTGCAAACACACCAACTTTGGAGGTCATGGCAAAGCGGACCACCTGGTCACTAGGGTTTAGCTTGACGTAGTGCCTGGACACACGCAGTCTCATGACGTCACTGGCCGTTCTGGGCTGGCCGTCGTCGCACTCCTCATAGCTGATGGTGTTGTCCCAGGTGTAGCGGTAGGCCACGTCATTGACACGGTACGTGCGGGCCACGAACGACTTGACCACGCCTGGAAAGAATTGTGTATTCGGATAATATTATAGAGAGCGACAGAGAAAGACAGAGACAAAGAAACGGAGGGAGGGACAGATAGGGACAGATGTTCAGATAACATAGAGAGACACAGGGAAAGATAAAGAGAGAGAGAGAGAGAGAGAGAGAGAGAGAGAGAGAGAGAAAGAGGGAGAGAGACAGATTCAGATAATATACATATATATAT